AAAAAAATCCCCCCACCCAAACCCCCCCTTTTTTTTTTAAAATTCCCAGGTTTTTTTTTTTTTTTTTTTTTTTTAAATAATTCTCGTAGATATACACACATTACTGCCATAATGTAGAGAAAATAAGCGGCTTCCAGACAATGAAGCAGCTTTAAAGAGTCTGTCGAATGTTTCTTGAAGTGAAACTAGCACTGCTGGCATTGTTGTTATCTGGTCAGCTGAGTTCTTGAACATGACCGACACCGGGCAGCAGCTTCACTCAACTTACCCGAGAGAACCAGACGCTGAGCTGCGTCTCTGACAGCAAGGCGAAGTAAAACCTCTGGGAGCTGGGCTGGATGTGAAAGGGCTCCTCGGCACTCCTCAGCGGACAAAGCAGCCTCCGGGGCCAGCCGGTTAGAAAATACATGACGGCTGAAACTCCCTCCTCAACACTCCAACAGTGCGGAGATCCTCCTTAAATAGTTTTTAATCCAGATGACACATTAGCGGCCGTTTTCGTCAGATTAAAAACTTTGGAAGATCCCAGTCTTTGGCACTGCGCAGGTTATCGGTACGCAGATGCCATAAAGATAGATTCAAGCAGCCAGTGAAGCTACGCGGCTAACTTAAAGCTAATGAGCGGTCCAAGGGAACCCAGAGTTCCCGAAAACAAAAGCAAAGAGAACCGCTGCGTCTCCACTTAGCCTCCAACTGTGAGATGCAAGCATCAAACGGGTCGAATAACTTCCGCTCCCAGTGTCGTATCAATTATTTCGGTGTTTTGACCAGAGGTGTCTGTTCACGGCTAAGAGTCCAGTTTTCACTCCACTCTGCCTCACCGTCGCCATTTTTACAAGCGTCTATCCGACTTAACGCTGATTGGGCGAGACTGGAGAGTTTGCGTGGTGTTGAACTGTGACGTCAGCTTTGTGTTATGTGAGAAATGCTGCGAGGAAGACAGAGTGGCTCGACGCTGACATCTGGCGGCGAAACAAAGTACCAACAGAAAAAAAGAAACTTACCTATTTTTTTGTCAAATTCTTAACAAGTCTAACAAGCAGACAGCAAATATGTCGGAAAGTAAAATTTAAAAGTAAACAAAATGGAAGAAAGCTGTAAACCTGCTAGTCAGATCTTTCGTTCTGTAAACAAAAGACAAAATTCTCACTCCAAAAGTTTACCTTCCACAGCATCCACTTTCTTTCTTTCTTTCTTTCTTTCTTTCTTTCTTTCTTTCTTTCTTTCTTTCTTTCTTTCTTTCTTTCTTTCTTTCATGAACTGAGGTGGAATATTGCAATAATAATAATCCAAAAATAATATATGGCGAGTAAACGGGTTGAGTCATATTCCACTCCTTACCTAAAGGCGGCGATGGCACATGGTTTAGAAGAAGCACTCGGAAATGAGACTGTTATTTGCTTAGCATGGTTCACTCATAGCACAAGGCATTTTAAGCTTACCAAAGTTTGTTTGGACTTTAGAGCTAATATAGTACGTTGTATTTTAAATAATTCAATATTTGTCTTAAGTCTGTCGCGGCGAAACATCCAGCTGAAGCTCAGGAGCTAAAAAAGAAAGAAAGAGAGCAACATGGCTGTGGACATGAGATTACCGACTGTTAAAAACTCAATGTCTCTTTCACATTCTGCTGGTGACCGAAAAGATCTGGTTGTCCCTGGAGATGTGATCACTTCAGACACTGGGTTCATGAGGTACGTAACGAGCAAAACAGTAGAGGAATTTGTTGGACTTGAATTGCCACCCCCACAATTTTAACATTTCTTTAAACTTATTTGAGAAGCGATGCAGCAACTACCTGGTAGAAACTGAAATCGGGAAAATATATCAACTGTCTCTTCTAAAATAAAATAAAAAAAGTTTTTGGATCATAATAATAATAATAAAAAAGCTCACTTTCCTTAAAATCCTTGAAAACGCCTGGTCTCCCCATTTCAGGTAAACGTTACAGAATCTTAATCTTGAGTGCTTTTCCTGGTGTATTTTTCATTTTGTAGGACTTCCCTGGAGATCTCATGAAATTTACATTGTTTTATGAGGAGGATAATACCCCCACCCCCTACCCAACAAAAAAAAAAATAGTAACCTAGTTATTTCATTAACAACAATTAATAAATTTAATGTCTAACATTCTGTTTGGATTCTTGAAACTTCAGCCCCAAATACTGAATAAAACCTTAGATGTGTTAGTGAGGATGGAACAGCCAGTAGCATAATCACAAACTTAAGAGTTTGGAGCAAATCAATTTCTGCTGTAGATTCACAGATGGTAATGTATTCAGACGTAGAAATTACATTACTAAATCCAATCACATATCTTCAGACAAAGTCTGCATTATTTGTGGCTTTTTGACTCCATATTTACAGTTCTCATTTTCCTCCAGGGGTCACGGCACATATGTTGACGAAGACAAGCTGACAGCATCAGTGGCTGGAGAGGTGCAGAGGGTGGACAAACTAATATGTGTCAGACCTCTTAAGACGAGGTGAGTCAATCAACTTTGAACTCCTGGTGCTTCTAATAACTAAGACAATGCGTATGTACTGCTATTACTTAATTCTGCAAATGCATTTGAATTATATTGATCTTTTTTTTTATTTCAGATTTAATGGTGAGGTTGGAGATGTTGTAGTTGGTAGAATTACAGAGGTGAGATTCTATTTTTACTCCTTACGCTGTAAAAAGAAAATGGATCTCCAAATGTAAAAAAAAAAAGACAGTTAATTTAACATATAATTGAACTAAGTTTGTCAGACTTTATTTATTTATGTTTGTTTAACATGGCAACTTAATAAACTCAATATGTTTACTTGGATAGACTCAATTTGATTGCTTCTTACAAATCATCTCAATTTTCTTAAATTGGATCACCTGTTTAATTTTTTTTTTCAGGGTAGAAATAGAATTTGTATGATTGTTTTTCTCTTTTTTTTTATTTTCAAAAACTGTTGGTCCTCCATTTGTGATAAAACGTAGGTTCAACAGAAGCGTTGGAAGGTGGAGACCAACTCCAGACTAGATTCTGTCCTCTTGTTGTCATCTGTCAATCTGCCGGGAGGAGAACTGGTGAGATGATCGAAATGACTTTGATTTTGTTTAGTCATTTTTTGTGTTGCAGTGTTTGCTCAAGTGTTTGATTTCACCTTTTAGAGGAGACGATCAGCAGAAGATGAGCTCACCATGAGAGAATACCTTCAAGAGGGCGATCTCATCAGTGTAGGGCATCATTAGTCTTTCATTGCCTCTGACTTGTATTTTACCATACTTACCGTTTCCAAGAATAATGGGCATTTTTGCCTTCTCCTGTGATTTTCTTAGGCAGAAGTGCAGTCTGTTTTCTCAGACGGAGCCCTGTCACTTCACACTCGTAGTTTAAAGTATGGAAAAGTAAGTTTTAGTACGCTACAATTATTTCATGGAGGTTTTCTTCTTTCTGTGTTGTATTGTGATGATACACTACTATGTGATGACCAGTTTACCACTTCATTGCAGTTCTAACAGGTTGTCTTTATGTTTCTTATCTTTATCATTAAAAGTTTATTTTTTGTGTGTATTAAAATTAATTAAAGATCGACTTTGTATTGCTTTAAAATTTTTAGTCGTCATTTTACCTCATGATCTGTTTGTCCTCTTTCTCTCAGTTGGGTCAAGGAGTGCTGGTGCAGCTTTCCCCGTCTCTGATAAAGAGGCAGAAAACGCATTTCCACAACCTACCTTGTGGAGCCTCCATCATCTTGGGGAATAACGGCTTTGTATGGCTGTATCCCACGCCGGGACAGCAAGAAGAGGAAGCTGGAGGCTTCTACACCAGTCTGGAGGTAGATTTAGAATCCACAAACGCCAACCTGGAGAAAAGCACTGAGAGACGTCAGCTCTAATTATTTTTTAAAATATAACCACACGTGAACTGTGCTTAACTGAGGTTGTTTTTGTGCGTGTGTCCCGTCTCTGTCCTCTCAGCCTGTGAGCCTGTCGGATCGAGAGGTGATTTCACGGCTTAGAAACTGCCTACTGGCTCTGGCTGCTCATAAAGTGCTTTTGTATGACACAAGTGTTCTCTATTGCTACGAGTCGTCTCTCCAGCACCAGGTAGGAATCACGGGGTTGTTCTCCGGAAGTCCAAAATGTAATCTATAAAGAAGAAACAAAGTCGTATTAAACAAATCGAACAAGAGGCGATTGTGCTGAAATTTCTGCTGCAATTATGAATTGAAACACATTTTTTTCTTGCATCTTGTCAGAGGATGGGTCTATTATACATGTTACGGTTACAACTATAATTTATTTGTTAAAGTTTTTTTTCCTTACATTTAAAAAAAAAAAATACGATCTATTCGCTGCAGGTCAAGGACATCTTAAAGCCAGAAGTGATGGAGGAGATTGTAATGTTGACACAACAGAAGCTGTTGGAACACGAGAGTTAAGAAGACACAAACTAAAGTATCTAACCAAAATCAAAGTAAACTCTGTCTAATAGGACCACTTAGATTTCTTAGATGGCTTTTGTTTTGTATTTGATAAAACTCACAGCTACTGTTGCGAAAAACTGATTAAACAAAAAAAAAAGGTAAATTATTAGAAGACATCAGTTGACATCTTTTGATACACAAAGCAATTTTATTGTTTGATTAAATTCTGTAATTTCTATCTTGTTTGGATTCTGTGTTGTCTGTTGTGTGGAACTTCAAAGATGGAAAAATGTACAGAAGTTTTTTTTTTATGGGGAAACATCTCACATCAGCTACAGGACATACTGTACATCCTTTTTTAAAGACTTCACTTCCAAAGTATTCCTTAATTTTTTCCCCCTTTTTTATATACTTACCTGTCATTTTTTATGTACAGTTTAGCCCAAAATGATTCATACCTCTGCTATATTTAGATTTTTAATTTTCATTAAACCCATATGTTTGTTTCTGATAAAAAATGAGACAGGCATCTCTCAGAATATAACAGTCTTCAAAGAGAATCAGCTTTAAAAAAAATGTTTTATCTGCTTATATTTATGGTTCATTAGAAGTGGCATGTGAAATTATTTGTGCAACAAACAGTGAAAGAATCATCAATTAAAAAAAGAAGAAAACCATGATTAAAATCCAACATTTGACTTAATAGGACAGTGGTGTTGACTGTATTATCGCTAAAATTATATTAAGTTATCAGACAATGTCACTCCAACTGGTAGGTCTTTTTTTTTATCGTCATGTTACCATGCAAGTTGCTCCGAACCACTTGATTAAAATTAAGTTATCCTGTAGTAAACCTTCCAGCCACTGAAGGAAGATATAGTTTGTGATTTCAAAACTTCAATTAAATGCTGTAACTCATTAAAATATCCCACCTCACTTGCTTTTGCTGTTGCTCTTCAAATCTGTATTTGGCCGCAGGGTTAGAAAGTCAGGAGCTATAATTGTAACAAAATATGTTCATGTCTATGTTCTACTGAGTAACTAATCAGTCTTACTAGGTTTGTATATGAGTAGTTGTGAAGCCCCTTCAGCTCCAAAGCACTATCCCACTCACGAACGTGACGTCACACGTTGCGCCACCCACATTTTTCTGTAAACCACCTTGCGTATGGAAGTATGGCGGCCTCGGCGAAACAACTGCTCCTCGGCCAAAGTTTACTGCTCCGGTTTTGACGCGAAAGCGATGAATAAGTACGCAAACAGAGCAGGCGGTATCGACGAGCTCGGTTGCTGTGGGCATTGGACAGGGCTTGCAGAAAGAGTCGCTGTTATTTGGCCGGCGGACTTCACTGAACTTCTCTTCGCCTCCTTGATTGAAGCGTCTCCGCTCCGGGTATCAGAGGGGGAGAAGCTCCGTAAGACGGGAAAAGTGGACACGGAAGTTGGAAACTAAGTCATTGCGCTGACTTTGGAAAGTCCAGTCGTTATGTGGGAATGTATGGTGCCAAGACACATTTGTTGAGATGTTTTAGCGCACTTGTCCGAAGTTGTTTGTCGGGAAGCAGCAAGAACCAACTGTTGACTGCTCGATGTGCATTTAGGGTCTGCGCGCTGCATACCACTAGCAGACGTTGGTTAGCTTTCATGGCTCCGGCTAACCAACATTTTCACTGTTTCTGTGACCACGTAAGTTGTCATACGTGTATGTATCTTATCTTTGTTAACGTTTTAGAGGCAAAATAAGTTGTTTCCAAGTGATATAAATGTTTCAATTTACCATTGTCGCCAGTTGCTGCTGATTAACTGTTTATTGCGAGCGGACAGCTGAGTTAAAGGTACTCCAATTCTACGTATTACGTCTGAATTATCAAGGGTATAGTGTAGAAAAACATTTAGCCGTCTTCTAAAATATGACAATCTAAATTTAAAGATGTTCATATATTTCAAAATTATTATGCATACAGCAATATTTGTTTTTCTTTTGAAAAATAACTCAAACTGCTTTTCAGACGTGCTATTCATTAAGTGTTCAGTTTATCTACCACATTTTGGATGCGATCTAAAACTTTAGCATTCAGTAGCTGTTTTAGTTACTAACTAAAAAATTGCAGGCATGTCCATAAGCCTCTACAGGTTTTCAGGTAAAATAGCATGTCCTGTGAATAATTCTTAGGTTTATTATGGTCTTTGACTCATAGACAACACGGGAATATATTAAAGTAAAGATGCACTTCTGAGGCTTTCTCTATCCAAAATCAATTTCCTGTCTTCCTGGGCATGACATGGAAAGCCCAGGAAGACGATTAAAATCAATTGGATTTTAATTGATTCAGATGATTAATTTTTTGTTTGTTTTTAATCAAAAAAAGAAAACATGAAAAGGAATGCATGTAGGGATGGACACTTATTTCATTTATTGTATGGGAATATGGAGATTTGCTTTGACAAAACTCTTAATTGATTATGTTTTCAAACACCCAAACAAATAGTATGGCAGGTATTATCTGTTTGCTGTCAAAACAATATTTATTTATCAAAGTATGCTAAATATAGCTGGCATGGGCAAAAAGCATATATTTTTTAAAATGATAGTTTTATTTTAGTGCGTTTGTGTTTGACAGTCTTTGTATTGCCACTTTTATTATTATTGCAATAAGCGCAACAAGATGTTCTGATTAAATTTTATGCCCACGTAGTTTTGCCCTAATTAATGCAAATTGGATTGAAGTGGTAGCAGTTTTGAACCTTTATCTGAATTAATTCAGTGCATGCTCTTGGTTAAATCATTTTATAAGAGTGCATTGATTTATCTGCTGGCCAATTTATCACCTCCACTTTCCTTAATTTTGTGAGATCAGTGATCGGTCAATACTTAAACATGAAGCTGATCTTCTCCGCCAATCTTATCTACCTCAGGAATGATTTAAAAATCAACCACTGTCCTCTTCTGCTGTTCTGTAAGAAAGGTTTGACTGATTTAAGGTGTAGAAGACTGGCCCACCGTGTCATGTCTGCATGTTTGTAGTTAGTAGTCGCCCCGATGTTGCAAAGTCAGCAGCCAAAAATGGAATTGGCAGGTCAGACTTTTTAAAGATTGATAATCAACGATTAGCCAGAAAACTGCAATCGTGGCACCCCTAGCATGTTAAGATTGTAAATATTAGCGGTCCTTATTTTTTAAGGAATATGGAGTGAAAAAAAAGATTTTTTTTTTTTTTTAGTTTTTACCCAGGTGAACGCCGACCAGCGACTGCAATTTTGATTAGTTCATCTAGGAGGAGATTCATTTTTTTGTAATACAAAAATGTTCAAGAACTCAAGAACCCCCCCCCCCAAAAAAAAAAAAAAAAAAAAAAGAGGAATAACAAACTTTTTTTTCTGTTTCTGCACCCCTTGTTCCTTT